TCCAAGGATCTAAAAGCAAGATGCTAGCTGAGATTAATTCATCAGGGTATAGTTAGTAGACCTAACACACCCAGAATTCTGAACAGGCATAAAATGGAAGAACATGCATGACTACAGACAGAATGACACTGCCTTTTTCTCATGTCTCCACCTATTTCTACGTATCCAGAACTTCACTCTCCAAAGAGACTCCAAAGGCAAGAACACAAGAGGTGTTGCTAATGAGGCATCGTGATGACAAGGATGGTGAAATGTTGCATAACCCCACTGGTTTGCTTTATGCTTCCCAGTATAGCACTCACCCAGTTTAAAATGATTGTTTAAGCAATAAACTAATGTCAAATGGTAACTGATTTTTTTGAGTCACATGTGTGCAGCTACCATGCAAAAGGAATAATCAATATTCCTAGCTCAGGACTTCCCATTATAAATACTTTGGGTGTGGTTCTCTAACAAATGCCAGAACAGACTTTTTTGCTCCACCTTATCTAGGTATGTGCAGACTAAAGAGGTATGCTCATACGAAGTGGAATGTTTAAACATTCCCTTACAAAGCAAACTCCTTTTTGCCTTGTAAATTTTTTATGGCTGTTTTCTATTCTCAAAAAAAAAGAAAAAAAACCACCCCAAAATCTAATCAGCAAGTCTGACACTGATACTGCCTGGTCTAATATGCTTTTACTTTTGTTCTTGCATGAGTGATACTACAAAAAGATTAGCTTGTCAGTGTTTGGAAGGTGACGCAGAACCTAAACTCTTTGTCGCCATTTTTTTTTTTGGTTTGGGCTTTGTTATGCTTGCAGCAAATAGAATTGGGGATAAATTCATCCTAAGTATCTCTCCTTCCACCTTCTCTACTCATTTGGTATTTCATTTGCAGGAGGGATGTTTTGGAAGTAAGTTTGTAGATAAGGTGATGGTATCAGACCTTAAAAAGCCTTTATTTTGCCACCAGTCACTGGGGTGCTTTTTCCATATGTTTGGAATAGGGGATGCTAGACACTAATTATTCTGTATCTTTAAGCCAAACGTAGACCCAAATTTAAAAGCTATTTACTTTGTCATAAGAAATTCTAGAACGTGCCAGCACCACACAGACTCCCCTGTCCAAAAAGCTCAGTTTAAGCTCTCAGTTGAGGAATAAGGCAATAAAAGAAGTTAAGATGTCAGTTGTCACATCTTGCGAATTCTGTGGTGGCTTGTAGTATGGCCTATGAACAAGGGGAGTACAGGGGAAGGAACTGAGACACACTGAGGAGGTGCAGCTGAACAGCTTTAGATACAGGTATGTACTGCTAGATACTGTTGTTTCAAAAGACGAAACAGCAGTCATTATCACTTTGCCCTAACATGCAATGAGCTGTTAGACCTCTGCAAAGCATGAGATAAACCGTTCTGCGCTTGCTGACAGGAAGGTTGGCAGGGACTGATTGTATCGGAGCAGATTTCCTGCCTTGCAGTGGTACCATGTGATTTAGCCCACTATCAGATGTTCTGCAGGTGGGGAGAAACAACCCAGTTAGTACATCTGTAGATTTTCTGTTTGCCTGCAGAGTGCCGGGCAGTTGCTTCGTATGTCCATTCAATGTAATTCAGCATCTACTTAATGCCGTAATGGGATGAAAAATTTGTCATCTTGCCATCAAAAATGTTTCACCTAGGCATAGCGGGAAAAATTGTATGAAGTAATGGGGGAACTCAGGCTTATTTTACAAGAGGATTTTAGAGTGAATTCCTTTTAACTATGTACCTTCATTTTCTTGAGTTTAGTATTCCTATAGAAGAAACGGGTGCTAGCTTTATTATAATTTTAGGCTGTTTCACTCTGAAAACTGCAACATAGGCTAACAGCTTTCTAACCACCAAGGGACTCAAGAATACATGCTTACATCATATGTAAAGCCATTATTGCGTTTTCTCCTAATTGCAAACTTGGCAACTGAGCCTGCAATCTGAATCTTTAATCTGGATGCCTACTAGGTTTTTAGTCACCAAGAGGAAAATAATGTAATGACAACGTGGTTAGCCTTTCTGTTGACTGGGGAGCTGGTGTAGAATCAACTGTTGGCTTCTAATCCTGTTGTGGTGTGCAGGGAGGCGTACATCGCAGTGGAAAACCACAGCTGTAGCCTGATTTTCTCCACTATTCCATTCAATGTAAACCACTTTAAATCTAATGCCTACCAGTCAAAGAGACCCACAAAGGGCAAGCAGTTTGATATTACTGCTGAGGTCTGCTTGTAGCAGAGCTTAAGAATCATGGAATCATAGAATTGTAGGTTGGAAAAGACCTCTAAGATCGTCAGGTCCAACCATCACCCCAACACCACCATGACTGCTAAACCATGTCCTGAAGTGCCACATCTACATGTTTTTTGAACACCTCCAGGGATGGTGACTCCACCACTTCCCTGGGCAGCCTGTTCCAATGCCTGACCAATTTGAGCAGCATTGTAAAAATTCCCATTTGTAACCTCAGCAGCTATTTTTGCAACAAGTGTATGATGCATTGGTGAAGACAGGCTTCTTAAAAGCTTTTTTCCTTACCAAGACTTAGAACTAATTGTCTTTCTGGTAATGGAAATCTGCTTATTTGTGGCTGGGGAATGCCTGGGAAGAGCTGTAGTATTTCTGTTGCTCTTAGCTCCTCAAAAGATGGGACTGAGAGGCTAAATACTTCTCTTGAAGAGTTGTGTAAGCCAAGCTAACAAAGGTCAGGTGCTATCAAGGTGAGAAAAGAATGCATAAGAAGTGGTTTGTAAGTCAGCTTCTGTCACCTTCTGTCACTTCTGACTGTACAAGCCCTATGGTCCGGACGAGTCATTTGTAAAGGAATTACTGGGGAAACTGAGAGCACGTTTATACCTTTATTAGCAAGCATAATTATCTCCCAGAGTCTAGAAGATCTGTTGAGCTGGTGGAGTTAAGGTACGCTAACTTCCATAGGCAGCAAGGAGGGATGGGAGCAAGGTGACCTTCACTTTCAACCAAAATGACAGCGGCGTTGGCCATGGGTGACATTTAACGAGAGTCTAGGGCCATGACAAATCCATGCCTCTGTCCTGTTTGTGTTATGTTAATCGACCGCAGATCTGAGGATACAACAAGCGAGTGAGTAGGCTGGCACAGCTGAGAGGCCTGGGATATTGTCCACTTCTGCAGTGATTTATTGGTCTGAGCTGACTGGTAAAGGTCTCCTACCGCGCCTTAGTTTCACTGGTTGAATACAAAGGGGAAAGGAGTGAGCAGTGTTTGGGGTAAAAGAGTTCAGTCAGACAGGATGAGGGCACTGGATACTTGTCCAGTGACTCAGTACCTTCCCGCTAGAGAACTTCCCTCGGCATGTGTTGTCTTGCTGCCCTGAAGCACTAGCTGGGGTCAGAGCTCTGCTGCTCTGCAGCCTGTGCAGACAGCTGAAAAGGCAGTCCCTAGGCCTAAGGACATCTGTTCTGAGAAGGCAAATAATGCATGGGAAAGAATGTGAAAGGGGGAAGCAATCATCTGTGTAAAAAGTTCTTGCGTGCCACATTTCCACTGTTCCTGCTGGCTGTATTCATAAGCTGGCTGAGTAATGAGGAGCTGGCTCATAGCTGAGTAATATATTTGCTTGAGGACAGAGGGAAGCTACTGCTCTGTTGATGCTTCAACTTGGAAGACCTGCAGCATGAGAGAAATGTGTATTTTGGCTCTTAGAGAAGCACAGAGTTATAAGCAAGAGAGGGCCAAAATTAAATGGCCCAATAATGCTACGGACTGTTGAATCTTGGCATTAAAAATGCCAGTGGTGACCTCAGCTCCTGGCAGCCTCAACTGTGTGTAGCTGATTCAAGACAGAAGTTGTTTATGCACCTGGGAGAGACTGACTGTTGACAGTACTTTCAAAAAGAAGTTTAGGTATTCAAATTCTAATATAGCTGATGCATGCAAATAAGCCTTTTCAATTCTGGCTGTACAAAGATGGAGAGGTTGAGTGATAGGTGAGAATGGCCTGTCTTAGTGTGAGGGTGGGACTGGCTCAGTGTCCTGTCTATGCTGCAAGTGGTTGTCTGTACTTGACAATCAAATCTACAACCTATAATAAAAGGACTGTCATCGTAGCTGCTTGATTGCACTAGAAGTTCCTTCTAAACTGCTTTGGGTTGGACTAGATGACCTTTGAAAGTCCTTTCCAACCCAAACCATTCTATAACTGGCCATCAGGGCTGTGGAAGATATCACTATCCCACAGCAACGTGGACTGTGTTTGGCCTTAAAGTGTCTAAGTAACTTGATTTGTCTTGATTTCTCCCTTGGGCTCCATTGTTAGCTTGTTTCCTGAAGGAAAGGACATACATGGAGAAGGCAGATGAAGCCTGACTTGACTTTTGTTAAGTGCTCTCTAAATCTGTGTAGTAACTTTCCTGGTCTGCAGGTTAGTCTCCAGGCCATGTATAAGCATATGCCTAATGTGTTATATGCCTAACGAGGAAGGAAAACAACCTCACAAATTGCACACACTAACTCTTTCTTCTGTTAAGGTATGCTTCATAAAAGCAGGGTGACCCTGAAGCTTGAAATTAGATTATGAAAAATTTGCTTCACAGTATTTAAAATGGCTGCAGTTCATGTGATGGATACATGTAGATTAATAAAGTGCACAAACTTATTTCGTTGTTTCTTCCATGTGATGCTGTCTTCCTTTAACTCATTGTATTCATGTAAGGATTTTTTGTGTAACCTGTGGAAAAAATGGCATCATCTTTCCAGTGCACTTTTGGAATGTGTGTGTACAAGTAGTGCCATATGGACAGCCTGAAAAGACATCTTCTGAGCCTCAAAACAACCGTGAACTTAATTTTGGTGCAGACTTCTTATGCTGCCCTGCTAGCTTATCTCAGTTTTAACCTTGGAGAACTGGCATTTGGAGGCAGGAAGTAAAGATGTGCATTTACGGGAGATTTCTACACAGTTAAGTACATTGTGTGTATCTCATTATTGTTTTTTTTTTTTTCCCTCCCCAGGCTTTTACCAGAAAAAGTCAAAGATGATGTTCAGCTAAAGAATATGAGTGGGCAGTGGTTTTATGAAGCAAAGTCGAAGAGGCACAGAGATAAGATACATGGAGCAGATATTATTAGAGCTTCCATGCGACGGAAGCCTGCCACTGTTGGTAAGCACTGAGTTTATATTTTATTTTGGAAAGGGTGGCTCTTACTTAGCTAACCTCACACTGTTTTCTGTGAAATACAAGAATTAATATTAATATCTCTACGGGCAGAAAGTGATGCAAAAGAGATTTGCCATGTAGTTTACAGAGAAAGCTTTGCTCTCCCCCAATGCTGTGCATTAAAGAGAGGATTCTGTGTGATGACTGCTAACGAGAGGGACTGACTTATGTTTGTGTAGGACTAAAAGCCCTCTGCACTCCTGGACTGCATTCTCATTTCCATTGTTGGTCCTGTGCGCTATCCTGGAATGTGCAAAGAGTCAGAGATTGAGGAAATTGCTCTTTAGTATGGTTTTCCAAAATTTTGGGTGCTCACTCTGAGGCTTAATTTATTTTGTTATTCTTAAGGAGGCCAAAGGTACTTCAAGTTGATTTGAAATGATAGGCACCATGAGCTACAGCTAGTGGTTATACCTACTGAAATATGTGTTGGGAGCTCTGGCAGCTAGAACTGGCATCCTGTGTCCGCATTACTTTTGAGGGCACCCACCATGATGTGGGGACTGGTGGGAGCATTCAAATGGTCTGTTAGAAACATTTGTTAAAACCACCTGTGTTCATGTGCCAGATAAGTTGCAGACATTGAGTAGGACAGATAGGTAGTAGTATGTCATATCATAGAATGGTTTGGGTTGGAAGGGACCTTGTAGATCATCCAGTTCCAACCCCCTGCCACAGGCAGGGACACCTCCCACGAAACCCAGGTGTTACACCACTGGCCTTGAACACTGCCAGGGAGGGGGCAGCCACAGCTTCTCTGGGCAACCTGGGCCAGGGCCTTGCCACCCTCAGAGTAAAGAATTTCTTTGTCTAATCTAAATCCACCCTCTTTCAGTTTAAAGCCATTACCCCTTGTCCTAGTGTAAATTGAGTAATGTTGACAAGCTTGGTGCGTGCTTGACAACAAATACATTCTGAAACTTTTATTTTAAAAAATCAGAATGTGGGAAGATAGTGCACTGTGTTTAACATCAGAAGTAAATACAGTGTTTTATCTGGAGAGAAACAAAACAGAAGAGTAGAACGTAAGAACTGCTCTACTGGACCAGACCAGAAGCTTGTCTCTCCAGCACCCTGCCTCGGAGAGTGCCCGGCAGCATGGGTAGGCTCCAAGGCCAGGACCAGCCCTCAGACTCTTGAAATAGAGGAGGTATTTCTAGATTGGATTTTCCCTGTGGATTTGTTCAAGAAGTTCTTTTAAGCCATGCCTCTGTAACATGTCCTGTCTTGAGGCATTTTAAAATGAAAGTTTTGCCTGTAAGAAGTGACCGTTTCCTTTTGTGTTTGAGCTGATCACCATTAACATTATCCCTGGGAGAGAAAGTCAATCTATAATCGCAAAAAAAAATCTATAATATACTATACAGGATTTTATAGACTTCTGTTATAAATCTCTAACCATCTGACTTTCTAATTTGAGGAGTCCTGGTCTATTTTGTCATTCTTTGTACAGAAAGGGATTTTTTTATTTCTTGGAGAAATTGACCCCCATGCCCTCTTATCCTCCTCTGGTTCTGCTAAATCCTTTTGACTCAGAAGGGTACGACTCTTACTATTCTCATCAGATTGTACCGAAATTTGTAATTTTAATGGTTTTGAGTTCTGTTAAGGGATTTTTCTGTATGCTAGTGTTCCAAGTTTGCTACTTTCTGTAGGTTTTGTAACTACAACTTAGCCTTGTTTTGCTGTGTCCGATCCTGCAATGTGACACCTTCTCAATTTCCATATTCCCAGAGATCAGTTTGGATAATGGCAGTTCAGTCAATTCGAGGTTACTGTGTGGTGGTTTTGGGATTTTAAGTTAATAAGAAAAGGCCTGAAACAGAAAAGAATGTAGAAGTTCACAGGTGGTTAGTGCGGCATGTTTGTGGTTTCGGCTGGTTTTGGACTTGAAGGTTATGAAAATCAGTTGTAAAATTCCAGCTAACTTTTACAGTAGCTTATAGCTTAAAGGAGGGTTCTTAAAGCCATATTATCTTAAAGGAAGGTTAATTATCACAGTCTTTACTTGAAGAAGGGGGTGTACTCGTACATTCAGAACTATGTGCAATTGCTTGGTTTCAATGACTAGTTGGCAAGATATTTTTACTTGCAGGTATGGATAGCAAAAGCGAGAATAAGTCTTGCTTATTTTTGCGCACAAAGATACTCTTCATTTCTAAACTGTTCAAGTAACAGAAGCAGTAAAGGAAATAATGCAAATTAATGTTCTGACTCTGAAAGGGGTTATCAGAATAGGATTCTGTCCCACCCCAAAGAAATGTAAATGTATTAGCATTTGCTGAATGAGGAGGGACATTTTGTTTGGTTGATTTTTTTTTTAATACTTTCTTAACTTCTTATAATTCTATCCATAAAGGGTTAGCCACCTGCTTAAACGACCATTATGACCAATGTCTAGTTGACTGTTGTAGGAAGTGAATAATTTACTTGATTAACTGAACTTCAGCATACTTTCAGTTTCCTATGGTTTAATTGTTTTGGTTTCCTCAGGACACCAAGGTTGAATTTTCAGTGTTTATTTAGCTGCAAGAACAGTCTCTGCCAGAGTTGTTGTAGAAAACTTCTCCATTTAGGATCACTTTAAGGTCTAAAGCAGATGTACCTGGAGTAGTAGAGTGAAGTATTCAAAGCAGTATGTGATGTTTCTAGCAGCAATAAAAAAATTATTCTTCAGAAGGCACCAGACAGGCTTCTGTACACAGTTCAAGTGTAGTGGACTTTTGCAATGGCTGTAGGACTGAATGCAAATACTTGTATTTGCTTCTGAAGAAATCCTCTATGAACATATGGGAGACAACATTCTTGTTTCATGTTTTAGCTGAAGTGAGTCAGAGCAAATCAAACAAAGCAAAGAACAGCTGGGTGAGCAATGTTAATAAAGAAGTCTTTGTGCCACCAGAACTACATGGAATTGTGGAACATCAAGAAGAACGGCTGAAATCTCATTCAAGGTAAGCTGTCTGTTTAATCACAGTTGGTATGTACACATCAGGACTGGTGAAACTCGTGAGCTCTGAGTTCCATCCAAAATATTGTACTTTCCTCTTATTTCAAAGATCACCGAATGTTTCCTCAGAATTGTCCAAGGAATCCATGCATGTGAAAGGCTGACAAATCATAGAATTATAGAATGGTAAGGGTTGGAAGGGACTTTAAAGATCATCTGGTTCCAACCCCCTCTGCCATGGACAGGGACATCTTCCACCAGACCAGGTTGCTCAGAGCTCCATCCAGCCTGGCCTTGAACGCTTCCAAGGAGGGGGCAGCCACAGCTTCTCTGGGCAACCTGTGCCAGTGTTTCACCACCCTCATGGTGAAGAATTTCTTCCAAATATCTAATCTAAATCTGCCCTTTTTTAGCTTACAGCTGTTCCCCCTTGTCCTATCACTACGCACCCTTGTGAAAAGTCCCTCTCCATCCTTCCTGTAGGCCCCTTCAGGTACTGGCAGGCTGCTAAAAGGTCACCCCGCAGCCTTCTCTTCTCCAGGCTGAACAGCCCCAACTCTCTCAGCCTGTTCGCGTAGTTGTTCATTGTTAATTGTTGTGCATTTGAATGCAGAACAATTTTTGGCGTACCTCTTGAAGGAAAAAAGTTGTCAGTGGTGTGTAGAATGGTGGCACACACGTTCTTGTATCACAACGTAGTCTGGTTCCCAGAAGTGAGACCAGGAATTTCTGGTTAGAGTGGCTGGCCACAATGAGTCCTCTGTAGTTATAGACGGACAATAACCTCTGCGTCTCTTCATGCAGTCACTCAGGGAGACCAGACTGTTGATTCAGAATTTTAAACTTCGATGATACAAAGAATCAGAGACTGAGAAATTGCTCTTTAGAATTTTCCAGATTTTTGGGAGCACAGTTTAAGACCTCTGAGACTTTTTTTAAGCAGACCAAATGTATTTCAGGAGGATCTTCAGATGATTGCAGAAAATAAGTCAGATTCTACCAACAAAGATAAATGCCTTTCTGGAAGGGAGAGGCTTCCATTCAGAGTAAGGGCAGGATGGTCGGCTTAGGTATGCCGCAGTGGCTGTAGTTGTTGCAGGAAAGATGGATGATAAGCAGAACTACAGAGGATTTTGTATTACATTGCTCTATCCCAAGTCTGTAAACATCCCAAACAGCTCCATTTTGCTTTGAAATATACCAAGTTGGTTTCTGAGAGACACACACACGTGTCTCCTCTTTAAAATACCTACATGTAGTGATTCATTGGCTTGTGTGAAGAGCTTTCTAAAAGCCTGCATTTGAGAAGGAGAGTGGTGATCTCTTAGCTGGGGTGACAACAGGTGGAAATGTCTTTACGTAGCCAGATTCCTCAGCACCACTGAGGAAACAAGAACCAGGGTGTAACACAGCTATTGTTTGTGCTTCCAGTGCACAGAGTGAGGTAAGAAGCAGAGATACTTCTTAGGGCGACTTTTATTCTGGCTGTGCCATTGATCAGCACTGTAACCTTTCACTTTCTTGTCTGTTTTCCAAGTCCTTCTCTGTACGTCTGTTTTTTCTTTGCAGCAAGGCTTGTCTCCTCCTAAGCATTTGTACAATATCTAGTAGCAGTTGAATCTTTCACTTTCGTGGTCTGCAAACTGGGCACGCACGGTCATGATGAATGGCACCAAAGGTTGGTGTAAGTCTTAACAACTCTGGCTTGCATTACTGGTCGGTCTTATCATTTACATATCATTATCAGGGAACTCAAATGGGTATTTGTCTTACCCACATCTGACATAGTGCTGAAAAAGGTCAAATAAACTGCTTTGTTATAGACCTACCAAAAAATGAAGTTGTACAGTAAGGATAATAAAGGTTGCTTAGGTTTTACCTTCAGGAGATTGTTATGGAGTTACTTATTTTAGACAGCACAAGACATGCTGCTGATTAATATATCTTTTAAAATATTTTGCACGTCATCTTGCACATCAGGAAAAGATGATGATACTTTAAAAGTAGTACAGCCTTATAATGTTATTTACCGTTACAACTCCACAGATTGTGTGTGATTGATAGAGCAATACATTCCATAAACTGCCAGGGAAGACTCTTCAAAAACATGTAACAAGGTTTAAGAACATGTAAAAATTGTTTGAAATATGACCAACTTGATTGTAGTCTTTAACTTGAGGTGATTTGATGACTGATTTCAGGTCGTACCCATGCAAAGCTTGATAATTATTGTCCAGGACCCTTTCCTGCCCTCTGCTCCAAATTGTGCCAGAAGTTAATCAGCCCGTATGCCTTGCACATGTGTGCTCATGCTCTCACCAGTAGCTCAAGATCTTCCCTCTAAAGCAAGCTCACGCAGTCCAGGGTTTCTGAGATCATAAGTTGCAAGTGGACCTTAGGATCTATAATATGGGGCTGGACACTTACTTGTGTTTACTTTCATAAATACTTGATTAGATGTCTCGGACTATTGGCTGCTAAAATGTGAGAAGCTGAAGCAAGCAAACATGGCAGGACTATGTGCAATTCTTTGCTTGCAATTTCAGTATGGGCTTATTTCGCTATGACTGATTAGTGTACACAGCATTGCACGTGGGAAATTGCAGGAGGCACCATACGTTTTTAAAACGCTCCTTTCTGTTCCCTTAATACTGGACTTTCAATGAGACTGGTCTGACATGGCTGCAGACCTGTCTGTAATGGCAGCAGCTGATGGGGGATTGAGGGGAAGCACAGAGCTGGGAAAGCAATAACCCTACCATTTGGGGTGGGAAGGGACAGCCTAGATACTACAGACATTTAATTTGGTTGTTAGGGTAGCAGCGCTGCAAGGAATTAATTTCCGTTGATTCTTCCTCTTGCAACGCAATAGTCGCAACATGGCTAGAACGGAGAGGATGAAACGGAGTATTGTCCTGGAGCTTGGGGTCGCATAAAGGGAATTCACAGCTTCTGGTGTCCAAATGCTACATGTCATTCAGCCACCTGGACTCCTAAAATGTTTTAAGGTGCTACTTTAAGGGTAGGTTTGTGGGAGTTTTGGATTTTTTGTTCTTCCTCCACTTCTTCCTCTAAGAGTGGGCTTCAGGCCAGCACTGGCTTGCAGGCTTTACATAAACTGAACAGCTGTTAACCTGAGGATTGGGACCAGAAGATATGTGATAACAAATTACCCTGACCTTTTTTTCCTGGATCCTATTCTTAAACAAAAGCAATTCTTAGTGAATGAGAAGGTGGCTCAGTTTTGGTAGGTCTGTGAACTGCTGAGTGTCAAACCCAGCCCTGGGGCCAGCTGCTGTTGAGTCAGGGTCCTGGTACATTAGGTGGATCAGAAATCAGCCCGCAACTACATTCTTAAAAACAGCAGTGATCTTCATCCTCCACACCCTAAATATCTAAATTCAGTAATGAAACTACGAACACTTTTTTTCTTGGGTGTTATATCACTGTGGTACTGTTCTTGCATACCATAGCCTTTACAGGCCAGGTGTGTGAAGCATCTTTGAAGGCACAGAACAAGTTTTCATAGGGTGACTCAGACTGTCAATATTGGCTCTGTTCAGTGATACCATCTGTCTATATGCTGACTCTCAAAAAAGGGCGATGTTAAAGGGGTTTTATCTTTCCAATTAAGACTTGTAGGTTGTTTTCTTCCCTAGGCTAGAAAATATTTATAGCCTAGGTTGACCAGGTGACAAGTGTGGCTCCTAGAGTTCTCCATGGTGAAAATATACACAAAAGCCCTAATTCTTAAATTCCATGTAACTTTTCTGGAATAATAGGAGTGCTGGGATACCTAGAGGAGGACGTTTTTATGGAGCACTCTTAAATTGCACAAGTTTTACTCACACCAAGTTCTCTGCCCTTCAGGATGAGCCCAGGAAAGCTTATTTTTTTGAATGGGAGGCCATTTCTGAGTAGACTGTATTGACAGTGCCTGCAGATCTGTAACCCCTTTCTCCAGCTCTGCTCCTGCCTTCGCCTTGTTGCCTCTTGTTCCTGTCCGGTGCCGTCCAGTCTGTAGGGAGTTTGGGCCTTCGTTGTGGTTCTCTGCACTTTGTTTCGCTGAACTGCAGTGCAGGAATTTTTTAATCTGGGTGTATTTATCGGCTTGGCTTCTTACACTCTCTTAGATTAGCCTTGTGAATGCAGCGTATCTGGGAACTGTTTGTTCAGTTTTCCCATCTATATGGGGCGAGGGTAAACTCATATTTTCAGACCTTTTGTTGTGAAATCTAGTTATAGGATCCTGGGTGTGGTTTTTTCTCTACCTTACGTTTTCTGTAGAGCAAGGTTTTCAATAGGTAATGCCAAATTAACTTTTTAATTATTCTATGGTAAGTCTGAAGTAGCATTGTGTTAAAATATTGTGGGATTCTGTGTGTTCAATGAGACTTAAAGTTACCTCCCCACCTGTAAAAACTGCAAACGGAGGAATGTCTTATCAGTTCCTTGCAGCTGAGGGTACATAACAGTATTTTCCTTGTTTAAAATGAGGGAAGGGTTGAAGCATTCATGACCTAGACCTTTAAAGAAAAAAAAAAAAAATCACATTTGTTCTTTTGGGTAGCAGATGGTATAGATGAGACACAAAGTGTGCTCATAAAAACAAAACCTCAAGTTCTTACAAAAGCAAGAACACAAACTCCAGTTCAGCAGAACAAAGTTTCTTTAAATATATGTATTTTCAGACTTAACCTTAGTTTTAATACTTTTTTTTTAAACTGTAATGTGGAATGATATTTTTGAAAAGCAATTAGAAGTTGCAATATTGAGCTCTTTGAGAACTAGAAATTTTTTTTATTTATTTAGTATCAGAGAAGAATAGAAAGAACAATAATAATCTGTTATACCTGGTGTGTGCATATAGGAGGCTGCTGCAGTTACTGTTGAAATATGAGTAGTTTATTTCTTCACCCATGAGAGAGTTTCGATTACAAGATCAGCACATTCCTTAAGTTTGTATCGCTGTGCATGGTGGTATATTTCTTTAAGGTTGTGTTAAACCAAACAAGCAAGGAAGAGATACAGAAGTTTATAGCTCGGATTACAACAGGTATTTTTTTCCTAGCCTTATGTTCAGGCTGCTCAGTACTATGTCATCTTTATCTTCTCCATAATGGTGGTTTTCCATTTCCATTTACAATGGTCTCCCATTGTAAATTGTGAGTGATGTCACTTCTTAGATATGTTTGGCAGTTCAGAGGCTATCATCTCTCCTGGAGAAGATGAAAGTTGTTCTCAGCTGGGCAGACTGTTGCCAGTCACCTGATGGGAGAGATCTTTATTCAGGTGAGGAGGCAGCTCCTGTTTGAACCTAGAACTTAGTGAGAGCTGGGAGCTGTTTTCTTGTCCTGAGATACCACTTCTGCCCTGAAAAGCACTGTCTTGTGGCTCTGCTGCTTGCCAGTCAATATCTAAAAGTCTTTGCACCCATGCCAAAGATTGTTGACCAAAGAAATATTCAGTATTGTAATCTCCTTGTACATCTGTACTGGGGGAAAAACCTGTAGGAGTTGCTTTCCTTCCTAGTCTGAAGTCATCTTTCCTACCTGGTGAATACTCATTTTTCCTGCCTTGTACTGTTTCCCCCATCCCCCAAATCATAAGCGTGTAAGGTGGTTAGTGCCAGCATTTTCTATATGAAGTTAAGATACTGAATGTGGTTGTTATATGAAGACCATATTTATATCCACATCTAACTTCCATCTTCAATAAACAAATGCTTTTTCATATCTGAGATGTTTAGATAAACTCAAATTATAAAAATCTGATTATTTTGGAAAAAAAACCCCTTATATTATTCTGCAGATAGATGAAATATTTCTTTATATAATGTAGGATCTATCTCTTCTAGCTGGGCTATGCTTAGTCAGGATCACAAGGAATAACTTCACTTATGCCATCAGACCACAGATTTTATAGATTTTAATTCCAAGAATAACTTATAGGCTGTGCCTCTGAGGGGATGTGTTGTCATCTGTGGCGTGTCACATCTTTGCTGTAGTGGTACTAGGGTTCCTCTGATTTTTCTGACCTGGACACTTTGCAACACTATTTTTATCAGACTTTTGCACCTCCCTCCACTTTTAGTTCAGTCCTAGAAGTTTAAATGTAGGACAAGGACGGAGACAGCAGCATTGATATTGTTTGGAGGGTGGCTATATTTACGTAAAGCTTGCTCAAAAATCTAAAAGATGTCAAAAATATGGTTTCTGACATGCCAAGTACAAGTTGTATTGAATACTTTAACAAGCAAAGAAATTTTTGCAAGGAAACAAAGCATCGAGAATATCCCCTTGATAGGAATTCCCCTTGAAAGGAGAAGGTTTGCTTCTAAATCTGATAAGAGGAGGCTAAATAAAAAACTTTAGGTGCCAAGATATTATATTTGAGTATGTATAAAGGAATCTCTGTTTTGCTTTTTGAAAAAGGCTTAATGACCTGTTTGCTGAAGTTATGTGCTGTTTCTTTGCAGTTCTAAACCAATAACCTCTGTGTTAAACCAAGCAGAGGAAAAACCTATGAAGACAGCAGTCTCGCCAGTAAAGGTATGATTGGTATTGAATATAGCAGAAGTTATCTTTTACATTTTGTGTGTTCCTTTGCTTCAGTGGTAAAGATAATTAAAGATTTGAGGAAGAAAGATATAAAATTGAGAAAAAAAGAGTATTTTTTGTTTCAGAGGGAGACGATGGAAACCACTGAACGTTCAGCACTGAAATGCTGTTCGGGCTATAATCAGTGGCTGGCTGTACTTGACACTGTTTCCAGTCTTTTCAGCCACTGCAAAGAATTATCTTGCTGTGTTCCGCTATCTGTAGAGTCATAGAAGTAGAGATAAAATGATTTAACTTGCAACAACTTGGGATTTTCAAGTAGCTTTAAGTGGTGGCTTATCTCTGCTGTTGGTGACCTCGGAAAGAACAGGATGAGGATATCACTACCAATTCTGATAGTTCCCTGGTTCATGTTGTTTAGGTTTTTTGTCATGTATCCAGTTTAAGAGGCATGCTTACAGATTCTTTGCTGCCAGGGTAGTGAGGCAGAGGAAATCCCTGCACTTCCATTTATTTTGTCAAGACTGTACTGATAGAGCAGTTTGACTGCAATTATAATGTCCATTCCTTTTTAGCAAAGGAGAAATCCATTTAATTCCACTGCATCAGGTGACAACTTGAACAGCGAGGAGTCAGAAAACAGACCAGCTATTCTACCTCAGCTATCAAATAAGGGTAAATATACTTATTTAGCGTATGACTGAATTTGTTGGAGGTTTATATGGAAATTATTTGTAATTTCATTGCTTGTTTTTGTAAGATATCAAACCCTGTTTTACCTTAACTGCCTGGAGTTAACAACTACTTGATTTCAAACCCCATGTAAAATATGAATATACTCAGGAAATAGCTGTTTACATGAATAAATGGGTTTTGCTTCCTGTCTTTTACTCACAGTTCTAGTCAGTATTAAGCACTCCATCGGAGAGAGCTGTTTGTCCTGAACTGCTGTTAAGAGAAACAAGAAATTTCCTTGAATGTGGCATAGCTGTCTTCATGAGCTTCCCGTCATTGCTGCTGTCGGCTTCATGGAAGAAGCCTAACTCTCTTTGATCTTTATTTTTTTTCCTTTATGCTCTCAGTCCGGTGTATTTTCGAATACTCCCTTTCCTGCAGTATTCTCTGCAAGCAAGTAGACGAGTGATGATCTATCACAATACAGGCAGTTGAATTTATAAGCTCACATGTGGAAATTACTCTCCTGTCTCTGTTATGAAGCTTGCCAACAGGCAGAAAGAAGGACTTGCGCACTGGGAATAAAAAAAAATTCGTCTCCCTACTGGGAGATCACTTCTGCATTTTACCTTGCTCCCTATGAACATGGCAATAGCCTGCTTCCATTTCGGTAGGCTGCTGTTTATGTTCTGAACCTGAAAAGGTGTGTGCATATTGAAAAGCTGCCCTTCCCTGCAAAGTTTGTCCCTTGCAGGAATAACGTTGATCAAAAATTTGGTGTGCTCTCTCTTTGGAATCATCACATAGTTAGCTTTTCTAGAAGAAGAAATAACTGCAGGATTTTCATCTGTTAAAACTTCTGTTACATACAAATGAAACCAACACCTATGTTGAATCTCCTCCTGTGTCTTGCTGCAATTGTTTTAAATAAACCAATATAATTGCTGCAGAGTCCAGATAGGCACTGTTATACTCCTCTGTATATGCAGATGAATGTCAGGTAAACTTATGATTTTTTTTTTTTTTTCTCCGTGTATGTCTTCCAGAAATTTTGTCACCCTCAGAAGAAAGCCAACCTAAACCAACCTTGCAAAATGATGAAACAGAGAAACAGAAGAAGCCTTCTGTAGAACCTGCTGATGAGTCACAGAAAGGACTAGTTAAGCGTCCTGTCCCAAAAGCTAGAAAATTAATTCAAAAAGCAACCGATCCTGTGTCACAAAGAGAAGACACTGTTCCAAAGCCAGCCAAGCGAACTGAGAGGATTAATGGCACTGGTGCACCACCCAGGGGCATTCTGAAGCGCAGCTCAAGTTCAAGTTCCACTGACTCAGAAGTTCGTGTTAGCCAGATGTTTGATGTTCAGAAGAAGAATGGTCTTCCTACTGCAACTATTTTTGAAGGAGAAGCTGAGAATTCCTCTCTTAGGGAAGAAGCAGATGACTCCACACACATTTCACTGGAAAAACTGAAACAAGTGAGGTTCTCATCTAGCACAGGTAAAGAACCTCTGCAAAGCCCACAGCTACACCACGGTAGAGAAACAGGAGAGTTTGATTTGTTAGAATCTGATGAAATGAAGAGTAGTGGAAGTGATGCTATTAGATCAGATTCACATGGGAACAATCACATTTCTCCTGTCAAGCCTCTGGGAACCCATTCATCAGCTTTACAACTGAAAGCAATAGATGGCTTACAAGAAGGTTCCTCGGCATCTGGCCCTTGTGACACTAGTAGACCTGTCTTCCTAGTTAATGAAACCTTGCAGATGAAGACAGTTACTCCTAAGAAACTTGAAACTCCACAGAAGCCCTCCAACAATGTCCTGCCAAGTAGCCAGAATGAACTGAGTGTTGATGGGAGACGTGAAAATAAATCCAACCAGTTACCGAGCCAGGAATCGAAGTCACACACAAACTTTACTGGTAAGAGACGAATAGGAGGGAAGAACAGGATGCAGTAGCATATAGCATGTCTTCATTAATGTTTAAATCACTTGTATTGATGAACACCTAAGAAACTGAAATAGTAGGAATGTGCTACTGCAGAATTAAATTCTAAATCATAGAATGCTTTGGGTTGGAAGGGACCTTTAGATGTCATCTGGCCCAACCCCCCTGCAGTGGGCAGGGATCTCTTCAACCAGATCAGGTTGCTCAGAGCACTATCCAACCTGGCCTGGAATGTTTCCAGGGATGGAGCCTGCACTGCCTCTCTGGGCAACCCATGCCAGTGTTTCACTACTCTGATTGTAAAGAATTTCTTCCTTGTATCCAGGCTAAAATCACTAAAAAAAGAAATCACTTTTTTATATTTTAACGTTCTAACGTAGTCAATATTTTTTAGAGGATATTCTATTGGTATTCTTACAAATTAACAATCAGATCAGAGCCTGGATAGGCGCCTTTATTGTGGATGACAAAGGTGAAGTGATGGCATTTGGATAAAATTCCTGTCATAAGGCCTGGTTAGATCTGTCTGCACAGGAACTGAAGAATTTTTGGTGTACTGCTGTCGACTGTCCTTGGTAGTAATCCAGTTGTGACTTGGGGATTTGCTCATGGGACTAAACATAAATATGCTGCGTTGTCCCCACAGACCCAGCCCCCTCTTCAACGTAGCCATTTCCTTCAAAATGGGGATAACCAATCTTATCGGCTTGCACCCTCAAAAGTAATATGAGTGATCTTCCAGTAGGATATCTTGGGGCAGGAATTTATTTTGCACTCTATTGCCCGCAGTATGACTCTTTCCAAAAACACAAGGACAGAGAACTTTTCTCTGCTAACAGTTTAGAAGTATCTGAGAGTTTTTCAACACAGATTGGACATTTGTAGAGTAGTGTGTCCGATTCCTAACTCTGATAAGTTTGTTTACATTGTAGATGAACATCAGCTCTCTGCTAAGACAGAAGCGCATGAGGTGTCAAATACCAAGCCTACAAGCCTTCAGCAAGGTAAGCCTGATCTTGTTGAGGAGCGAGATGCTAAAACCACTTTCCAGCCTGACAAACATGCTGATGAACTTGTGAAAGTGGCCGGTGAATCTGTATCAAAAGTTTTAGATTGGTTTAAAAGAAGTTCCGGTGCTGAAGATGGGAAACATGTGTCGGCTAGATCCCAAGGCAGGGAACAACCCAAAGAGGAAGTGGATTTCTCAACCAGCACAGCAGTTCTTGCTACAGAGCACAGTGGGCCTAGTGTGGATGGAAAAACGGAAGTTACAGAAGAGTTACCCTTTAGAAAAATTAAACAACAGAATAGTATTTCACCTACATCATTTATTTCAGAAGATATACAGCTGATAAAAGAGAGGATGAAACCTAAGGAAGGGGAGGAGAACGAGCACCAAGATGACAAATCACTAACTGAAATTGACTGTACAAGAGTTCAAGAAAAAGAATGTGGTCAAGAAATCAAGCTACAAAATCAAAAATCAAATTTCTTTGAACATCAAGAACACAAGCCACTAGCTCAGAAACATGAATTGGAGAAGGCAATACGAGAAAAAAGAAGAATAAGGGAGATCAGAGCATTCTGGGAAAGGGATAAAACTATCCCCAGTCATGGAGAGAAAGAAGCTACTATCCATACTAATGCATCAGGCAGTGGTGCATTGAAAGGTCTCAGCAAAAGTGACAAAATAAACCCAACTGCAGTGCACCTACCTACTGGATCAGGTGATCAAAGCGAGAATACATTGAGAAATGCTGAACTAAGTTGTGCAGGCCAGGCTTCAAGGAATGAACATCAAAATTCTTTTGAGTCTGGACTAGGTCATGCAGTTGAAAAGCCAGAAAGAACACTTCTGTCTGATGGTGAAGTTCACGAACATACAGAATTGCCAAAATCCAATAACTTGCGGCCAAGAGTTGGTGCCACTTCAGCTTCCCCAGATAGAAAAGATGAGAAAGAAACACTGAAAGGAAAAGTTGCTGCTTCTTCCCAACAGAAGCCCAGCTTCCAGGCTTTGTCTTTAAAAGAAAAAATTAATGAAAAGTCCAAGAATCAAGTTTCAGATCCTTCCCAGTTCCAGAATTTGAGAAACTTCTGGGATACCGGAGTTAAATTACAGAGTAGCATTGATAGGGGAGATGTTTCATTGCCGAATAATACTAGCTCAACCTGTGAAAGAAAATCAAAGGGAGATGAAGGCAGAGATAATGTCAGCAAGCAAGAGTTAATTCAACAGCAAGCCCAAACATCTGAGAGAGAAAAAACACAGAAACTAGATTCTGTGGTGTGTGAACTGCCTCTCGGATCTCCTACCCTGAAAGGTGTGTGTCAGAATGTGACACACACAAAAAATACCGACTCTGTCCAGCTGGACAGAAAACCAGTTATTTCAAAACCCCAGGAAAAGGTGGATCTTCCAGAGCGAGAAGTTAAAGAATGCGTAGATAAAAGCGTTGTTTCAACAGAACATCATACTTCCATGCAGTTTCTCCAGTCACCTGGTGATAAATGTGCTTTAAAGGAGACAGCAGTAGATGACTGGCTATGCTTACCTACAGAAAAAGTGGAGAACAAGACTACTCCATTAGATATCAGTCTTCCTCAAGAGGAAGTTACAGAGACTGTGGATAAGGTGGTTCTGCCTAAAACTGAGCTTGATGTATTTAAATTAGGCCTAAAGAAGTTAGAAAAGGAAGCCTCTGAGATGTCATCTAGCTTGAACCTAAAAGAAAACATTTTGAAAGAGACAACTTTTCACTCAAATCAGTGCAAGGTCTTTGAAAGGACAGTAGAGCAGAGCCATAATATTTCTCCTGTTGATCAAAACCAAGAAATAAGCAAAAGCACAGGAAAAGTGAATGTGCCATCAGCAGATGAGCATGAAAACAAGAACAACCTCAGGAAACTGTTTAGGGAGTTTGAACCTTTCTGTCTACAACATCAGGCAGCAGACAAGGATGATACTCATGGGGGTTCTCAGAGGCCTCAAGCTGGTTTGCAGAACCTGCTCAGAGAAACCTCTGCATCTCAACCTTCTGAATATGGAACAGTGGGAATGAAAAAAGCAGATGATGCAAATAGTATCTCACAAACTATTTGTAGTGTAGAATCAGCATGGCCTGAAGATACTGGTCAGCCTAAAGAGGTCAGTGAAATCATAGAAAGATCTGTTGCCCCATCCAAGGTCAGTGGCTTGAGTTCTGCTTTAGAGAAGCTGCTGAAGGAGGCCTCCGAAACACCGCCTCCGAAACCCAAACGTGCCATTACTACAGCACGGAGGACCGCTGAGGTGGAGGTCAAAAGCATGACCTATGAGCATGATGGCGACTTGCTGCAGGAAATTGGTGAAATTGGTGAAATCATAGAAAAATCTGTTGCCCCATCCAAGGTCAGTGGCTTGAGTTCTGCTTTAGAGAAGCTGCTGAAGGAAGCCTTTGAAACACCGCCTCCGAAACCAAAACGTGCCAACAGCACAGCACGGGGGACCGCTGAGGTGGAGGTCAAAAGCACGACCTATGAGCGTGATGCCGACTTGCCTCAGGAAATTGGTGAGACCATAGAGAGATCTGCACTGTCTGAGGCTGAATATGGAGTATTTGATGTTAATTTGCAGAAGCTACCCAAAGAGGTCTCTGAATCACCAGCTTCTGTGCTGGAAAATATGCATAAGAAAATGCAAGGTAAAATTCAGACTAGTCTAAGTATGCATGCTCCACATCAAGAAGAGAGAGATCATTTTCAAGAAATACAAGAAATGATAGAAAAAACTTCTGCTTCAAACGTTGCAAAATTCAATGAATTCAATAGCTCTTTAGAAAGACTTCGTCAAGAAGCATCTGAAGTCTCATCTCCAATATCCAAAGAGTTACATAAAGAAGAAAAGTTGGGGGGTCTTATGTCTCCATTACAAAAAGTGACTCTCTTCATGCCAGTGTCACGACCATATAATGCTTTAAGTAGCTGTCATACACAGATGAAGATAGCTATCAAAGGGGGAGCTCCAGAACAAAATATCAAAGCGTCAGTAAATGATCTTGCAGTAAGTGAAACTGAAGCTTCTCATCTTCCTAAAAGAAATAGAGCTATTAATAAAATAGAAGAGAGAAATATGGCTCCAGTTGATCTTCCTCCCTTGGAAGGAGAGGCCAGTATGATTGCAATTGAGCCATGTGACATAAACAAAAAAGGAAGGAGAGATGAAAGCACATCCTTAGATGTCTCTGAAAATAATTCAGAATTGAAAGCGCTGTTGAAATTCAGAAGAGCAAGCGCACCACTTAAAGATGAGAGCAACTGCCCCCAGCCAGAAGGACCTCAACTCTGCCTAACGTCTCAGCATGAGGATAATGAAGAGCAAGGGGACGGCTCAAATTTGGGATCCAAGTTTTCAGATGAAAACTCGGATTCCCACTCCGGAACCGGAAGTTCAATTCGTGAGCCATTTGATTTCTAAAATTCATGGTGCTGGGTTGTTAAACATGGCTACGATTTTTCTTGGTAGCCAACTTCAAATATGTTAACCAAAAGCCTGTGTGATACTTATTTCTTAATTGAATGCTTTGGATATTTGTTTGGGAAGGATGGGAAGAACTGATTAAGTCCTTTAATTGGAAAGTGTTTCACAAACACGTACTACATGTGGGTAAGCCAAATTACCCATTTTGCTTCAGGGGAGTTCAGCAGCACGAATCAATCGCATCAATCTTCATGATTTACCCTTTTCTTCTTCCCCTGTGACGTGTCCTTAAAATTAATAACACTGTAACACTCAAAATCTGGTATTTCTTTTAAATATACTCGATTAAAAGAGGGGGGGAAAAAAAAAATCAGCGGCTGACTGAGTTCATTCTTTCATTTGACCAGCTGGTCTTCAAAGGTAAATGCTTGTCAGTGGAACAGCTGGATATAAAGACAACAGTGATACCCCATGCTATTTTAATCAACCTTGCTGCCTGTGGCCCTGGAAAGTGGCCACAGAAATGAAGTGGGCTGTTTGCTGGGATTCTCGTTATTTGGTTGAATGGCAGCTCTAGTCGATGTATAGTGTGTGATAGTCATCGAAGAGCTTAAGAGCTGCTGAGAGACTGGGAATGTTTTTCTTCACCTGGAGAATCAGAACCAAGGTCAGTGGCTTGAGTTCTGCTTTAGAGAAGCTGCTGAAGGAAGCCTTTGAAACACCGCCTCCGAAACCAAAACGTGCCAACAGCACAGCACGGGGGACCGCTGAGGTGGAGGTCAAAAGCACGACCTATGAGCGTGATGCCGACTTGCCTCAGGAAATTGGTGAGACCATAGAGAGATCTGCACTGTCTGAGGCTGAATATGGAGTATTTGATGTTAATTTGCAGAAGCTACCCAAAGAGGTCTCTGAATCACCAGCTTCTGTGCTGGAAAATATGCATAAGAAAATGCAAGGTAAAATTCAGACTAGTCTAAGTATGCATGCTCCACATCAAGAAGAGAGAGATCATTTTCAAGAAATACAAGAAATGATAGAAAAAACTTCTGCTTCAAATGTTGCAAAATTCAATGAATTCAATAGCTCTTTAGAAAGACTTCGTCAAGAAGCATCTGAAGTCTCATCTCCAATATCCAAAGAGTTACATAAAGAAGAAAAGTTGGGGGGTCTTATGTCTCCATTACAAAAAGTGACTCTCTTCATGCCAGTGTCACGACCATATAATGCTTTAAGTAGCTGTCATACACAGATGAAGATAGCTATCAAAGGGGGAGCTCCAGAACAAAATATCAAAGCGTCAGTAAATGATCTTGCAGTAAGTGAAACTGAAGCTTCTCATCTTCCTAAAAGAAATAGAGCTATTAATAAAATAGAAGAGAGAAATATGGCTCCAGTTGATCTTCCTCCCTTGGAAGGAGAGGCCAGTATGATTGCAATTGAGCCATGTGACATAAACAAAAAAGGAAGGAGAGATGAAAGCACATCCTTAGATGTCTCTGAAAATAATTCAGAATTGAAAGCGCTGTTGAAATTCAGAAGAGCAAGCGCACCACTTAAAGATGAGAGCAACTGCCCCCAGCCAGAAGGACCTCAACTCTGCCTAACGTCTCAGCATGAGGATAATGAAGAGCAAGGGGACGGCTCAAATTTGGGATCCAAGTTTTCAGATGAAAACTCGGATTCCCACTCCGGAACCGGAAGTTCAATTCGTGAGCCATTTGATTTCTAAAATTCATGGTGCTGGGTTGTTAAACATGGCTACGATTTTTCTTGGTAGCCAACTTCAAATATGTTAACCAAAAGCCTGTGTGATACTTATTTCTTAATTGAATGCTTTGGATATTTGTTTGGGAAGGATGGGAAGAACTGATTAAGTCCTTTAATTGGAAAGTGTTTCACAAACACGTACTACATGTGGGTAAGCCAAATTACCCATTTTGCTTCAGGGGAGTTCAGCAGCACGAATCAATCGCATCAATCTTCATGATTTACCCTTTTCTTCTTCCCCTGTGACGTGTCCTTAAAATTAATAACACTGTAACACTCAAAATCTGGTATTTCTTTTAAATATACTCGATTAAAAGAGGGGGGAAAAAAAAAAATCAGCGGCTGACTGAGTTCATTCTTTCATTTGACCAGCTGGTCTTCAAAGGTAAATGCTTGTCAGTGGAACAGCTGGATATAAAGACAACAGTGATACCCCATGCTATTTTAATCAACCTTGCTGCCTGTGGCCCTGGAAAGTGGCCACAGAAATGAAGTGGGCTGTTTGCTGGGATTCTCGTTATTTGGTTGAATGGCAGCTCTAGTCGATGTATAGTGTGTGATAGTCATCGAAGAGCTTAAGAGCTGCTGAGAGACTGGGAATGTTTTTCTTCACCTGGAGAATCAGAAATACGTGAAGTTTCCAGGGTCTGCCAACTGACTCTTGAGCTTGTTTTGAAAGTGAGATTCCAATGGAAGTCAGTGAAAACTCAAGACAAATGAGGAGAAATGAAACGTAATTTGTTTTTACCCATAATTACAGACAGCAGCACTGTAAGGCTTGGTTGGTTGGTGGATGGGGAGGAAGGTGAGGTAGGGAGAGAGGTTTTAGAGGTTTCTGAAGGAGGTCTGTCTTGATTCTGCCCCTGGGGAAAATTGCACAATTTTAGGGATCTAAATATCTCTATAGCTGGGTTTTTTTGGTTGTTACTCAAGTTTGAGACAAAATTACTTTCACCGGGGAGAAAATATAATGGAAAAATTTAGAGACGGAAAAAACTACAGCTGTGAACTTTTTTTTTGTTCTGATTCATAACAAGATGGTTAGAAAATGGCTAAAGTCTGAGTTTATCCTATATTGTTCTTACACAATGAAGTGCCATAATTGCCCCAAACCCCCTTATGAGTCAGTACAGACAGACGTACCTATGCAGGGCAAATCAAGATGCCTGCTTCTTCCTACTGATGGCTGAGAGAGTTGAGAGAGCAAATGGATACTTAAAATTAGACATTTGTTTATTTTGGATTTCTTTTGTAATTTCATTGAATGTTTACTGTGTCAAAATAGATTCTTGTGAGAAATCTGTGGCTGTTTTTTTAGTGACTTGCTTAAAAGGGCATGTCTGTGTGTGCAGTATTCATGTGTTTTGTCTCGTAACAGGTTCAGAAGAAGAATTAAACCCTGTTTTGATGGCTTTGAAAAGGAGTGCAGATAGGAAAATGCCTTCCAAAAGTCTAGAGGACATTCCATCAGCCACCTCAAGTGAGCACAAAGCTTGTGTGTGTCTCCCATGAACCCCAGTTCGGCTTAAACATGTTCATGCTGGGCTTCCGTATGGCTTTGCCAAGTAGCGTTTTTGTCTTTGTTTCTCAATAAGCCGTATGGAGCTTGTACTGTAGAACTGAATTCTTTCCTCATACAGTTTAGTTTTCAGTTCTTTGTCTTAACTTTGAAACAACACCGGTCTATAAAGCGGACATCTTCCAAAAATGCACTGTGTTAGTCTACGATGACTGTTTCTTGGATAGTTTTTCAGCAGTGAAAGTATTGACAACTACCCAAATCAGTAATGAGCAACAACTGCCATTGTTTCCTGGCTGCTCGCTTGTGTCAGATTAGTAGACAGTGGAAGTATGAAAAAATCATTTTAGTTTAGTAGTCTCACCTGCATGTTCTAGCAGGTCATGCACTAAACTCAGTTTAAGATAATACAGTGAGACAAGATTGTACTTAAAAGTCACTCGACTTCCCTCTGTAGCCTCCTAGGATTGTTTTTAAATCATCATTTCTGTCTCCCTTCAGCCCTCAGTGTTCTCACGCTTATCTCGTGTCTGATGGCAAAGACATAAGCTGAACTTAATTTTGTAAACTGAAGTGTGGAGATGTAGATTTTGAAAGATGTTGGCTATTGTTGGCAAACTACTCTTCTAATACCACTCACGCTATTGCTTGCTTCTAACTAGTTTCTAGGTTTTAGGTATGCACTAACATTGTTGCAACAGCCCGCTGATGGAAACTGTCAATGTGAGACTGCTGCTTGGATGTAGGCATGATGTAGCGTGGGAAGTAGAAAGCACCTCTTGAATTTAACCATTCTCATGGCTCTGCTGGTTTATTGGAGTTTTCGTCCTCATTGCTCTGTAATTCTGTTGTTACCACTGCCATCCATTTTGTCATCCTGAACAGCAACTTTTCTAACTGTGTGTTACTCTTTTCCTGCACAGATAAAGGAAAAATAAATAATCCAAAGGAAGAATTAGCTCTTAGTGCTGAAGATGGTAAATATCTTTTGTGTCTGCATGGGAGTTTGTGTTTTTTCAATACCCTCTGTTTGCTAGTGAAGGATTTTTGAAACCAACAGTTGTGTTGCTCTTTTAGATTTGATTAACTTCAGCATGACTTAAATGCTTCTGTAGAATCTTGCTGTGTTGTTTTATTCTTAAGGAATATATGTATGTCCTGCTGTATCTGTAGGAACTGTGCCACCTGCCAGTGCGTTATTGTGGCCTTTGGTCATTCAGCCTATGAAACAGTTACTGAAACCATCGAGAGCTTTGAACATTAGCTCAGTTGAAGTGCTGGGCCTGGCTGACTAAATACCAAATTTGTTGGTTCACCTGGTGCATTATAATATGCAAGATGACTTTTGCTCACACAAAACCCCTTTCAGAATATGTCAGTTGAAAAGGAGCCTCTCTTACGATCCCCGTCTCAATCCAGCACAGCAGAATCACCGGGCAGTAGGTGAACTGCTAGATCAGCTACTGTTGCTGCCATCTGTAACGCACTGATGGATTGATCACTTGCTGTTCAATTCTTCTGTGTGCCTTTAGTGCATTGTGGCACTACGGTTTTAAGAAAGTTGCACATGGTTGCATTTATTGTCATTTTTTAGATGCTTTAAAGTATTTTGCATGTTAGTGGCCTATAGTTTAAACAATAGGACTGTAGTGTGGTAGGATGCCTGCAAGATCCAGTACATTAACAGGACTGAAGTACCATACTGCACTTTGATTTCAGACGGAGACTCCTACTGAAAGCGTGTTACATATTCAATATGGAACGTGTAGACACTTATCTCAAAAAGGGTGCGGGATTATGAGTTAAACTTATTAAGAGTGAAGTTTTGAAAAAATTTTGAAGTTTTTTGAAAATTTTGAAAAACAGAACAGGGCAAGCTCTCTTGAAAATACTCTTCATCTTTTCGCATTGCTTAGGCTTGTACGCTCATGTTCCCTTTGCCATGGTCTAGCTCCTCAAAGGAGGACAGCAGTGCAAAACAGAAACCTGTGGGGTCTGGGGAAGTCAAACCCCCCCACGTATAAAATATATCGATGCTATTTATAACGTTGCAAAGCTGTTTGTGCTACTGAATGACTGTTGTCAATACTGCACTGAGCAGGTCCGAAACCTGATCAGCATCAAGAGAGGAGTGAAAATGCAGCTGGAAGTGAGTAACAGGATTCTTCCAGCAGACAATGGAGAGACTTCTCCACTGATTTTAAACTAACACATTACGAATCCTTTTTTATCTAACAACTAACAAGTTATACATCTGGACTAGATACTTGCTCAGTGGGGAAACTGCATGTAACTGCATATTGACAATAACTGATATGTTGAGCACTGTTTGAGCTTCAAGAGCAGAAACTTTGGAAAAGCTTAACTCACCTTGCAAAGAATTCTGTCGCATGCAGTGTTTCATTTTATGCAATAGACAAGTGCCGCTGTAGCTGGCTGTTTGTTACCAAATAATTCTGTTTTACAGCATTCAGTATTGGCACGTTTCACAATGCGTATCCAGTCCGAAGCTAGAGAGCTTTCATGTATTATTAAAAAGTAGGGTTAGAGCGTGGAAAATTCTGAGAATTGTGGGCTTACTGCAAACTGGATTTTTGCAAGGCCAGCTTGTGCAATTAAGCTCTGTACAGTGAAAGAACATAGAAGTGAAGTTCAGTAGAGGTATACACAAGTTGAAGAGATTGGCTGCAAAAAACTGCATCATTAATGAGATATGCATCTTATAAATAACTAGGAATGCTTGAAACTTCCTTGTTCGGCTCTAAAAATTGCTTGTTTTACACAAACGTTCCTTTTGCAATTAATTAGACTGGCTATATAAAAGAACAGAGTTTAGCTTGTAAACTGACTTCTTACCAAGAACCTTATGATGACTCTAATGTTGATGATGGTACGGTTAGTGCGTGAGTGCACTTACCCTTGTTCTAGGAAGAAAATCTGGAAGGTAAACTGAAAATGTTTTCTTTATCGCATGTGATCAGAATTTGCTTGCAGCACCCAGGCTTGTAAATCATGTCAAGCGAAGTAAACATTCCTGCTCCTGGCAGACCAAGGTCTTTGGTCAGTGCTACAGGAGATGTCAAAGTAGATTGTCCTTCCTAGTGATAGCTTCTCTGAGCCTTATGGGGAGGGGCGGGGAAATTCTTGCATCCAAGCTGTGAACTGGTTGTGCACGTGCATGGATTTCATCTGAAGCTGTTTGTTTCTAACCATGTCCTGTTATGGAATATCACTGTTTTGATGTACAAACTTATTTTTGAAACCTTTTCAATTGCTGCTCTTCAGTTTCCACAGTGCCTGCACAGCCTGACAAGCTGTTTTCCAATCCTGAAAAACTCAAAGGACTTAGCAAGTCGGTACCATCATTCCTACAGGAAGAGGCAAGTTCCATCTCTGAAATGTCGTAACGGAACCTTCTGATTACTGTGGCGTTACACATTTGCCATATAGTGCTTTCTAGGGTCTGCCGAGTCAGTTTGCTCTCGGACCATGGCGTGGAGTTGAGCTGGTGATGTAGCAATCGGGAGATGATCCCAAACAATCTGTGGCTATTTAACCCTTCAAAAGCTGTAGGCCAGTAACCAGAGGTTTATTGTACAGCTAAACATACAGAGCATGTTTTATCTAGGAGATTGAAGACTAGTGAATGCTTGCTGGTATTCCCAAAGGCGATCTCTGTACTTAAACTAACAGGTTTTTTTTATCTTCAGAACAATTAAATTAATTTTTATCTTCAGCCAGTTAAAAACACTGGCACAGGTTGCCCAGAGAGGTGGTCAATGCCCCATCCCTGGAAACATTCCAGGCCAGGTTGGACAGGGCTCTGAGCAACCTCATCAAGTTGGAAATGTCCCTGCTCCCTGCCAGGGGGTTGGGTGAGGTGACTTTTAAAGGTCCCTTCCAACCCCAACCGTTCTATGACTCTGAAAGGCTGATTCGTGGATTTTGAATGAAACACTCTGACAAATACTTGAAAGCCGAAATACCACGTCATCAGTCTGGTCACAGTGAAAGGGGTTTGGGGGTGGTTCGTATTTATATTCTAAAAAATTGTCAGCACCCAATTCTGTTTATTCTGCCCTCCAAATTTATCTTTAAAATTGTGATTAGTCTCAATACTGTCTTGAGTTATCAAGCTCACAGATGGTGTATATCTATAAAAATAGCATCTATGTATACTGTGTGCTGGTTCTACTTCGGAGTTTATCATCACTGCAGTGCTACCTGGCCAATGTGAAACACAAAGCTAATGAAATGTAAACCTGGTAGAAATAACAGGTTAGGGAATAAGCATTCTAGACACCATGTAGTCATTGTGGTATTAACACTCATTTCTGTGTGTTAGTTCAGTTCTGGAATTATTTTAAAAACAATGAATTCTGATTATAACGTACTTTCTAATTAAAGAAGAAATACAACAAAATCTTTCTCTTGGAGTACCAGTGTCTTTTTTCTTCTGGCTAAAAGAGATAACAGCCTAAAAATTTAAGGGTTCTCTACTTGTGAATAGTGACAATATCCTATTAAATGTTTGGAATTAACTTAAAAAAAGTATCACATGTGTGACTGCATTCTGGAGGTATGCAGTCACCCCGGTGCTTAATAATTCCTTGTCTCTGAACTACCAGACATTCCACAAACCTCCACGAGAAGAGCTGTGACTGTTCCTGTAGAGAGAGCAGGCTTTGAGTGAATTAAGGACAGGGTTGAAAGTCAGCAGAACTAGGTTCAGTCCTGTCTCTCTGCTGACCTGCTGTGTGGACAGCAGCTGACAGGGTCTTCGGCAAACCATGTATCTTCCCTCTAGAAGAGGGCCTAGGATTTTCCTGTCTTTCAAGGAGTCCATGTAACGGGACTGATTATTCACACTGCGAACCTGTTACCTCACTCCCTGGCTTGATTTTGGAGAGTCCCACACAGTGCTCTCCAAAACAATTTTTCTCTCCAGGAGCCTCGCCCTAGGCAGGATGGACATCAGCCAGTCCTTACCTTTGGCCTCTGAACTGGGGAAAAATCCTGGTCTGCTTTTACTTAGCAGTATAGATGTAGCCAGAAAAGCTACAATAAAAGAATCTTTGTAGAGACTTACTCAAAATGCTGATGTGCTAGATATTTATGTCTATAGATATTCATTTTCTTAATGTGTGTAGAAATTGTTTACTAATCTTGCATTTGTTAGTAGATCTGTGACAGCAGTTCAAAACTGTGTAAAGGAGGGGGGAAGCCTTGTGAGGGATTCATGGGTAGAACACCGCACGGCGGTGATGCTTTCTACACCAGCTTGCACAGGAAGGTGCCAAAGCACGTGTGGGAAGTAAAGCATCGATTCTTTAGTACGGTAGTAGCACGGAGACAGAGCAGTGTTGTAAGCACGTGACCTGATAATGACCAAGTAAACCAAAACTGCAGCTCCCTGAGGCAAAAGCAGGGGCCTGCTTGCCCTCTTGCAAGAAAGGCTGTTTGCAACAGCTAGTCACTGTATCTGGTGCTGCTCTACTGTGCACGCTACCTTCGCTGTGTAACAGAAAGGGGCCGGTAAAAGACCTGAGCAGTATCACTTGTATAAGTTTATGCATGAGAGAGGGAAGTAGGTTGAGTGTTATTGTCCCAACAAAGTTAACTTTGTACTTTGTACTTGAGATTTAAAACCAAACAAACCTGGTTGCATTACTGCTTTAAATAATTTTCCATGTAGGCTTTCCATCGGAAAAATTCCCTTTCAACTTTTTCTAAGCGCATGACCCACTTTAAGAAACATTAATTACTCATGTTGCACTATAAGGGGATTTAAATTCAGGTTTTCTCCGAGTCCCAACCTGCATTAAAATTCTGTTTGTTTTTTAATGTTTCTTGTGACTACAAAGAACCTACACAGACTTTCTTTCTGTGATGTTTTTGTAGAGTGATGACAGAGAGACAGATACAGCATCAGAAAGCAGTTGTTCCCTTGGCAGAATCAAGAAGAGTCCCAGCTCTCTAACCAATCTTAGCGGCTCTTCTGGCATGGCCTCCTTATCCTCTGTATGTAAACCAAAGCCTTTTTAATGGCAGTTTGCTTCTGCTAATCCCTTCCATATTGTTTTGGCTCCCTTCTTACTCTTACGTTTCTTCCTTTGGCATCTGTCTCCTCCTTTCCCTCTCTGTTATGTGAACCCTTGCATGGAATTGCCTAAAAAACCCAAATTAAAATCAATTTTACTTTTCTTGTTTTCTAGTAATATACTGGAGCCTGTTCAGGACTCCACTGTGCCGCATACTCTAGAAACACTGAACAAAGAGGTGGCTTTTACCCTGGGAGCTAACATCTGTAGCTGACAGTAAAGATCAATTTACACAGAACAAACTTTTAGAAAAAGAGAAGGGGGGTAGGGGAGAAATAAGTGAAATAGAGATGGTATTGGTATGTGGGGTGCTAATTAAGTCAGTGAACTAGCTCACCAAAAGGCATTAATTTATGCAGACTTTACTGGGAAAAGGAGAATTTTGGAGAAGGATATTGAGACTAAAAACATTTGTACATCCTTCTCTTTCTACCTGTGTAGGGTTTAGTTTTGAAGTATGTTTTGTTTAGGCATCTAATTCAACCACAGACTTCATCACTGATCTTTTTGTCGGTGTTTTCAGAAGGCCTCTTGTCCTAAACTCTTAGGCTCTGCTTTCTGCAAGGAAGATCAGCTGAAGAGATAGATAAGTAGTATTTCAAGGATCTGATCACAGGCCTTCTCCAGATCCACAGCATCCTATCATTTTATTTCTTCTGTCTCAGTGCAATAAACACATTCACATTTTTTTTGTAGAAAACTTGGCCTAATGCCTTTTGTTTATAAATAACTTTCTTTTGTTAATCTGCTTGCTGAGAAGCTTGTGTAATAGTGTCCGTTACATTTTGTAATTACATCTACAAGAACACAATTGATTTCTTTACTGTCTGAATTCTGAGTGCAACTTCTACCCTAATCTTGAAGCATCTGGTGAAATGCAATGCCTGGAAAATTTTTCTCTTCTTGTATGATGCAGGTGAGCGGAAGTCTCATGAGCATCTACAGTGCAGACTTTGGCAATGTTGATGTGAAGGGGAACATTCAGTTTGCTATCGATTACGTAGAACAGCTGAACGAGCTCCACATTTTTATTTGCCAGTGTAAAGACTTGGCAGTGGCAGATGTTAAGCGACAGCGTTCAGACCCGTAAGTACAGAAGAATATATGTATTTCCTAATGGAAGTTTTTCTTTTAATGTGAAAATGAAAACTGATGTTTTTTTCCAATCCCTATAACCTGTTGGAGTAAACAACCCCATAAATAAACAAAGAGGCTATAACATGCTTTACATGGTTTTCCAGTCTGAACTGAATACAGAATTGCCACTATAAGAACAACATGGGAAGCTCAAACTTTTAAGAATATGAAATTCTCGTTTAAAATTCAACTTTACTGGTGGTAAATCCTGCTTTGATAAGCTTTCAATGAGATTAGCGCCTGTAAATGTGGTATCTGGGCATACTGTAGTTAAATACTCTGTATCTGTATGCGCTGAGGAGACCTTTCAACAGATTTCCCCTGGTAGAAGAAGGTTAATGTTCCACTTTGGAAACTATTGTCATACTTCACCACTGCTGTTCTATTTCTTATATGTAACAAGCTGAACAACATAATGGCTAGTTAAGTGGATTTCTTTTACTTTATAAGCAAATACTGGTGTGTTTTGGAAGGGGAAGTTGGAAAGGGTGTTTTTTTTGCTCTTCTGACCAACCTGTCTAAATTTTAGGTATGTAAAGACCTACCTTCTTCCAGAGAAATACAAGCTGGGCAAACGGAAGACTTCTGTGAAAAAGAAAACTTTCAATCCAGTCTACAATGAAATACTGCGGGTATTTATCCGACTATTACTGGACATGAAATACTGCACGAGTGAAGGAGCCTTAACTTTTAGGCACAGGTCCAGATGCTCTCGAGACGTCCGTGTTAGGATAAGGTGGATTGCTACGTAGAAGGACCTATGTCCTTCCATTTATAGGTTGACTCTGCAGTGTACTCTGAGTACAGCACTGAGCACACTGTTGTGTGCTTCTTGCAGACAAACACAAGCTGAGTATGAGCTTAAAATGCTCGAAATAAAAAGTAAAACATGAAGAGAGTTTTGTTCTGAAATGAAGTGAGCAGTTACAGATGTGTAAACCCGGACATGTTGTTCTCTAACCCTGTCACTTTCAGACACAGCATTGATGAAAAATCCAGCTTGTTTTAATTCTCTTATTTCTTCTTCCTGGCAGTATAAAATTGAGAAGGGTCTCCTAAAGAACCAAAGCCTTAATGTCTCTGTCTGGCACAATGATACCTTTGGGAGGAATAGCTTCCTTGGTGAAGTGGAACTGGATTTAGGAACCTGGGACTGGAATGATAAATCCAACAAGCAGATCAACTGGTTTCCACTTAAGCCAAGGGTAGGTTACTAAGGGTGGGTCAGCTGTCTTGTATTTTCGGCTGTGTAAGTGCAAAACCAAGTCATTTATTTAGGCCTGGTCTTGTGTGTTCTATGGTTTTTGTGTTGGTTATAATCATAAATATCTCTTTACTGGAAAATGGAAAATAGAGTTCTGAGGTTTCTATTCATCTAGGAGCTATTATGGTAGGAAAAACTTTCTCGTAGTCTAAGGAGTAGGGATTTCAAGGTGTTTTCCACTTACGTCATGTTGCTGCAATAGATACCTGAAGAGACTTGTTCCCAAAATATGAAATAAACCTACTGAGAATACAGAGCAAGTGCAGCAACGTTTTAATGTCAGATGCAATGATGACTTCCATGCCTGTATGCCTAATTTGTTAATGGCTTTCAGCCAAAAGCTAAACTTTTACTTATGCTACTGCCAGAGGTTCTCGTTTCTTTTTTTGAGTTGTTTCCCTCTTTTTTCCTTGCATTTACTTCATTAGTTAATTCAAAAATTAGCTCAATGAGAAGTTTTATGATTTGTAGAACAAAACAGGGATGTCATGGTAGTCTTTAGCACTAGGTTAATTTGACTGATTTTAAAACTGCTCTGGGTAGGTGAACTTTACTAAATGTTAATAGGTGCCATGTTCCATCTACAAACGGTCCATGACTGTCTGAAGAAATGACGTATTCTTGTGCCTTTTTGCAAGGTGACTCTTTGAGGCTGATTTTTAGATCAAAATATTCCTACAGAAATGAGTTTTGTAAAGTATGCTTTCTGTTGCACAAAGAATAAGTTTCCTGATGGAACGAGCGTAGGTTCTAGTTTTAAAGAAGTGCACAACAGTGGAAAAGAGGTGCCCTCAAAGCCTTTTGGCCTCTCCTGGGTCTCGTTTTCTGCTGTAGTGGAAGAGCTGTACATCTGAGGCATTGTGAAGTGGTTAAACTTGCCCTAAGATCTCTCATGTCCTGTAAACTGAAGGAAGACTAACAGGTGAAGAAACAAGAAAAAAATTTTCGTCATGTAGAAGTCAAGCTTGTTCCAGTGGAAAACTCTGCATGGTAAACTCTGTGTGTGAACAGCAAGGTTTGAGATCTGTGGGGCTGTCTTTTTAAATTTCAGACTTCAACAATGGCTCTTGAACTAGAAAGCAGAGGGGAGATGAAACTAGCCCTCCAGTATGTCCCACACCCTGTTGGAGGTATGCACTGCTGCTTTGTTTGTGCTTGTCAGGCCTTTGCGATTTTTGTTCTCTTTTTTTTTTTTTTTAAAAAAAACCCAAACTGTTTAATGTTTTTTAGCCAATTCAGACATCTTGTTTTAACATAAAAGTAGATTATTTTTTTTTCCTGGAGGATTGAGTCACCCTGATCATTAATTCAGTTTGGGATCCAAAGATCACTTCAAGAACTTATGTTGTTTTTAATGTTGCTACAGAAGAAATTACCTCACTGTTATAATCTTAGATTTAAAATGCAGTCTGTCTGTGTAACAAAATTCTGTTTTCTCAATAATAATTTTAGAGATTATAAATCTTCAGGCAGGCGCTGTAATTTACAAAATAAACAATGACAACACATTAAATTCAAGCAATATTAGAAGTATAAAATAGCAGGAAGTATTTAGAATGCAGCAATTTATAGCAGTGTGATCTGTCTGGTTCAGTCTTGTCTGGCAGCTGATAACTGGCTGACCTGACAGTGAAGCCAGGTCAGGTCTTTAATCCAGCCAGTCAGTCAGTAACAACCAAATGTATTAAGAGCACAGGGGAGATTATCTGAAAGTACAAGCGGCAATAAATGCTAACATCACACAGACTGAAGACAAGCTGATCTCTTTATCTAGGAGGCTTGGTAAGAGAAGACCAGTAGCATGCATTTGTTTAGTTACAATAGGAGAAAGGTCACTGTGGGGATACAGATGTGATGTGATCTTGCAGGACTTTGACAGGGATGAAGACTGCAGCTTCAAGGGCACAGAGAGGAGTGCTGAATTAAGATGTGAGATAATGAGAGTCCAGGCCAAATCTCACCTCTGCAAATGGACAGGAACTGCTGCATGACAGAAATTACCTTTAAAAAGGATCTACAAGGCTTAATCAGATGTTTTCTTTTACAGGAAAGAAGACTCCATCTACTGGTGAGGTCCACATCTGGGTGAAGGAATGCCATGACCTTCCTCTTCTGAGAGGCAACAGGCTCAACGCTTTTATTAAGTGGTAAGAACTGTGCTTGAAGTCATCAGACGTGGTGGCCTAATAATGCTACTGTTGTGCTTTCTAATCTTATCTGCATTTTTCTACATTCGAATTAAAAAAGCACATATTACTTTCTGATTCTCCTTCATTGTAATGCAAATTGTCCTGCAAAGCTTACAACTTCAAGCTGCTAAGTGTATAGCACCAGGGAAAAGATATAGGGAGAACTCCCTGCCTAATCGCTACTCTTTCATTTTGCCTGCTCAGCTCCGTGGTGGAAGGGCTAGCAAAAATTGTGCCTGCTTTGATTTTGATTTAAACAAAGCACATTTGGCAAGAGTATGGTTTAGCTTAACAAATCGTGGGAGGAGACAGAAGTGAGAAGAATAGTTGTATTTCTTCCTCCTTCCTTTCCACAAACAGACTAAAAATGTAAAGAGATAGGAATGATGAGATGGTTGGGGAATCTCTGGCAGCAACAAAAAGGTTTCAGTGTCATTAGTGATAATACAGCAAATAAACTACTTGTGCCTCTTCCCCACCTGCCTTCTCCTTCCCTTCCATCTTCCACAGCACACGGGTGCTTTGACTTTTTGACCTTTGACCTTTGACCTTTGACTTCTTCTCCATGATGCTAAAGCATCTTCTCTGCAGTCGCGTCCTAACACGCAAAGGGCAGCATTAATCAGCAGTCTTTATTCAGTACGTTTAACGCCAGCTATGGTGTGCAGGTGTAAACTGACAATGCTTTCTCTTTCTGAAGCACCATTCTTCCGGACACTAGCAGAAAAAGTCGCCAGAAAACAAGAACGGTGGCAAAAACTACAAACCCGGTATTCAACCACACCATGGTCTACGATGGCTTTAGGCCAGAAGACTTGAAAGAAGCCTGCATAGAACTCACAGTCTGGGATCACAACAAACTAGCCAACCACTTTCTGGGAGGTCTCAGGATAGGCCTTGGAACAGGTACTGGACAATTAACACATTAACCCTTAATTGACAAAATACAGTCTGTTTTCCTCTTCCTTTCCATTTCTCCTCTTTTTGCAAAGATCACTGAACAGCCTTTCAGTAACTTATTTACTGAAGAGTTTCATTCAGCACCTTACCTATTTTTCAGCACAGATCCTGCAATGTAAATGACAGCAGCGTTACGAGGGTTAGGATGACTGACAAGTAAGGAGAAATATTAGAAATAAGCCTTTGTCTACTCCAACTTTGTATCTGCTACTGTTTCAAGTACAAGAATGTGCTGTTCCTGCACCCAACATCTTAATAACGTCTTGCAAACTTGCGCATGCAAAAACTAGGTGTGTAGTGTAAAGACAATATTGGGTGGACATAAAAGGCTGGGTCAGGAATGCATGACAATTTGAAGATATTGGATAGGAAATCTTATAAATGCAAACAAGGTTTGAGCGTAAGGGCAACATACGATGTGCAGATAGAAGAATTGTATGTTTTCCCTGTCATTGTTTGTCCCTTTCATTGTCCCCTCTGTTCTGAGGGGAGGATGTGTTTGGTGTCTTTTCAAGCAAATACAAGAAAAAAAATTACTTTTCCCAAATTAACTTATTGCGTGGTTCACCAGAGTAATCTAAAATACAAATTAGGGTAGTAAATCTCAGTTTGAACTTCAGAGTACCCAAGGTTGTATTGCAGTACAAAATCATTGTCCCGTTTTATTCTTACACCCTCTCGATGTTAATCGCCCGTACATCTTTCTCCTTGGGACTGTGACAAAAAGACTAAGCATAACAAGGAAAAAATCCCTGGAGAAAGATGATCAAGTTTTCACGTGAAACTGTCGTTAATTGTATTTGACAGAATTGTTCAGTAATAATGTGGAACTGGATCTTCAAAGTACCAGGTTAGCTACCTGAGGAGGCAAAACTGTTCTAGAAGACAGGCGAATTTGATTGTCTGCTCTCAACTCTGCAGCATATTAAGTGCTTGATGTTTCTCCTCAAACTGACATTTTTCTAGGCAAAAGCTATGGAACTGTGGTCGACTGGATGGATTCTACGTCAGATGAAACTGCCCTTTGGGAGAAGATGATGAACTCGCCCAACACGTGGATAGAAGATACACTACCTCTCAGGATGCTAATGGTTGCAAAATTGACAAAATAAGGTGGTTTTTTTAATTGCTAGTGTCCAACAGAGACCTTGGGAATGAAATTAAAGGTGTGGGGGTGAAACCTGGAAGAGAACACAGTAGATCTTCTGACCGTCTCTGCTCCATTGCTGTTCTGGTTTTGTGCTGTCAAATGTCACTTCGTATTTCAAATTAAACTTCTGCCTGCACATTGTTATGTAAATTTAAGGGATTCTTTTATTTCTCATCCACTGAAAATAACTTCAAGGAAGAAGGCACTTAGAGAATTCAGTTGTAGAGGCAGCTGTGATACCTGGATGCTTGTGTTGCCTAGCTGAAGTGTTGCTGATCCCATAAATAATCTCAATTGCCAGCAAAAAACAGTAAGAGCAAGTCAACTCTTTCTGTACGCTTCTAGGATTGTTCACAAAGTGTCACTAATAAGATAGCAACAGGTCACATTTTGTTCATGTTTTTCAGTATGTGTCTGTATCCTCATTATGCCATGTCACATCTCTCCAGCAAGGAATATGAGCATGAAGATGTTTGTTTGAAAGCTCCTTTATCTGTAGTTGGACATTTCTAGGACATGAAAGTCACTTCTGTAAGGGAAGAAGCATTACATGAAGTGGTACTGGCGATGTCCTGTTCTGCAAGGTGCAGAGGACTGTTCATTCCAATGTACTATAAAAAAATCAGGGTTATGAAAAGTTTGCTTACATATGTGTTAATTGTCTTGCTATTACACAAACTTTACTCTTAATTGCTGAAGGCCTAGAGGTCAAACTTTTTTTTATTCAAATGCTACTCTAGAGGGTCTAAAGCTGCCAATTTTAGTGATGACAAATACGTTAGGTATTTATTCTGTAAAGTGTACTCATCTGTACCTGTATCCGTTAGCTTGTTTTCAAAAAGTAATTTATCTGTGTGTCAGAGCCACCGTTAGGAGAATGCAGGGATGAGGGTGCTCTTGCTTTGGAGGGCTTTGCAGCCTAAGAAATAGGACTGGAATTTGTAATTTGTAGAAATGCAAGCTACTAAAGAAAGATAAATGCATATGAAATGTATTACTATTTTTTTTAAATAAAATCAGCCTATTAAAGCTAAATAGGAATTCAATGTTTATTAAACCCCAGTGTTTTATGTTAGCAATTCAGCATGCACCATAACAAAATGCAGACAGAAAACATTTCTGAAAATAAATGCACACTTACTTGCTCCAACTGTGTAGCTCTAAACGCTGGTGAAATCTTGCACCTTAGTTAAAGTAGCGAGTAGAGAGGGGGCTCCTCACAGCTCCAACTCAGTTGCTTCATTTAATCATAGAAATGTAAATGCTACTTGTGTTTGCACACTGTGACTGGGAAGAAAGGTGCTACTCAGCCTGCCAGGGAACCCACTTTGTCTCCCATCCACCAGGCAGTCTGTGGAGTTCACAGATCCCCAAAGCAGCGGTCAGTCTTGATCTCTTAGCGCTTCAGGGGTTTGGGGTGAGGCTGGTAGCTGGGACAGGTGCCACTTTGCCAGATACATACAAAACGTTATTCTTGTAGGACTAGGGAACAGTGTGGGTACGACACTTCAGAACAACGTTATTTGTACTTACATGGTACAGCAGCTCCTTTGCTTGTGTTCTTGAAGAGCCACTCCTGAAAGGGTGGTAATTCTGGAAAAGCAGAGACCCAGTTTATTTGTATTCACTGCCTGTACGAGTTCCTTTTCACCTGAAAAAGTAGGTTGCTTTGACAATCTCCTTGTCTTTGGGTCAAGTAGAACATCTTCTGTCTTGTTATTCTTGAACCATCCTAGAGGCAGACACAGCATTTTGTCATCGCCTCAGAAGAGGCTGCTTACCACTACACCAAACAGATCAATACTCAGTTTAAATTTCAAAAAGCTACCTGAACATGAAGGTAAGATTTACTTGTGCACTGCACTTGTAATTAATTAGCGGGATCAACTAATGACACAGCAGTATTATGTACTTACCTTGATTAATCAAGAAACTGAATCAAGTAACAAAAATGGGCCCTTTAGCACAAAAATTCAGTGCTCCTCCCCAGTTTTTAATACGTTTTTTTTGGCATGTGCAGAAAATGGAGACTATTACAGGTGAACCTGTAAGCACAGTTGTCACCACACACAAAAGCGAGTCTTCCTCCTGCTTCCAAATTTATGGGAGGTCAGCACAGCCAGTCACAGGAATGTCTCTGGAGAGTTTACTAGCGCTTAACAATGCTGGATATTTTAAAGTTATCGTTGTTAGTCTGCCATGGAGTCTGCATCAAGCTGTAGATCTTTAACTTAAAGATTTTCAGCAGAGCTTTTTTCTGTTTCACTGTTGTCGTACACAAGGAAAGTCAAAGCTGTCCTGGTGAGGTGAACCTCAGCAGAAAGGAAGATTATAAACCAAGCTCTTTTATCAGTGGAAAAAGTACTTTCAGTACCCTATGCATGCTGTAGGATTTAATCAGAGTGTAGAAATATTACAATTTCACCTCCTGCTAAAAGATACTATGTCGATGTATTAAAAGGTGCTTGAAGGTACATTTAATGATGTAACCCAGAAGGAATTCTGTATTGACAATATCTAACTGAAGTCATGCAAAATTTACTTTTTCAAAAAAGATTATTGGTATTTTTTGACATTCCTCTGAATGTGGTTCATGTAATAGCTACAGCTTTCCAACAAATTCAGTCATTCCTCACTACAGTATTATGTTCCAGATTAATAATATGCTGCTAGAGAAATGCAAATTTATGAAGTTGATTAGGACAAAAAGCTTCAAGAAACTCGTTTCTGCGCTTTGCAGTCAAAAGGAAAGGTTTTAGTTGTCCATAATGAAACTTTAAAGGTGTATCGTTAGTTACTCGCTAAAGGGCAGTTTGATCTATTAATAGCTATGCTTTTAGTCTTAGTTCCAGTTCACCTTTGTGACAAAGCAGCCGTGCTCCTGGCATGTCTTCGCATATATCCATCCTTGCTGGAAGAAACATACCACTTCCACCTTTTTTTTTTTCCTTCATTTCATAACGTTACAAGCTCACCTTTAGCCCAGATTGGGGTTTTTTTGGTGCACATGTATGTATATATGCATGTATGTGTTCTAAATGACACTACTTTTACTTCCTATGAACCAGGTGCTTCAAAGCCCCAGCTCTCCTTTCATGCTCTGTGTTCAGAAACCTCCTGGTCCTTTTTCTGCCTCCCATTTCTGCAAGTAAGCCCCCAAACCTGAGCTGGTGCGGCAACCCGCACCACTCTGATCGTACTCATTTTCAAAGATCTGGTCCTGTGCCCTCCATGTCTTGTTTGCTGCACATCCTTTACCCACATCCCTCGCTCCTCTTTGCTTCGTATCCTTCTCCAGTGCAGTCAGCAAAACCTGCACCAACTTTTTCCTTCCAGCTGCATTTGTTTTTCCCTTCCTGATCCAATCTTTCAGATTTTTCATTAACTGCTGAATAAAGTTGCAAATTGTTTAGGGCAAGGGCTGTGTCCTTACTTACTTTCAGCGTGTTCTGAGAAGGTTGGAACTTGCCATTCTGACATCCTCTGGCACACGCAGGGCGCAAGCCGAGAGAAAGGAGTTCTTCAGACTTCTGGAAATCCTCTTCCCTTTACCAAATCTGGGTGCTTCTGACACTGTCAGCAGCATTTGTTTGCTAAGAAACACTCCCAGCTCTCTCAGTCGCTCTCCTAGGGCTGGCCCAGTTCCAGCCAGCCCAGATGAAGGCATGAGCTCTGGGGTGACTGGATTCAGCCTCTTATCTCCATGGAGACAGAAACCCCACAGCAGGAGTGGCAACAAACCATCAGGAGACAGAGAACACCTGGTAAGAAAACCTTTTTCTTCTCTTAAACCCTGCTCTTCATTGTGTTTCCGCTGGATGGCCTAAACCTTTCAGTCCTTCCCCCTCTCCTCTGTTATTTCCAAGTGTTTTGGCAGGATCCAAGGTAACAACAGCGGCAGGGGAGCGCTGGATGGTGGGGACAGCGGCAGCGTCCCTACCGACGGTCACTGCTCTGCAGTGCTGAAACTGCCCGTGCTTCGCAGGCTTGAACTCATTTTTGCTGTATGTTATTTTTTAGTATTTTTTTTAAGCTGGCTCCTTCCCATGTCCAATCTTCACCTCCGGTCAAAGCCCAGGAATTCACAAAACCTGATTATCAGCACGCCGTTTCATGTGCTGTGTAGTTCCAGGTCTGCATCTGAATGAAAAACTCATAGATCAGTTTTAGGCTGACTTTTAGCACGCCTGGGGAGCATGCTGTATGACTAGGCACCAGTAATGGGTTTGGTGCCAATGTAATGCAGACATTTCCCTTATTTTTACACGAGGAACCAGACTTTTAAAATTACATGCCTGAAATAATCCAGCAAATCAGTGTCAAAACTCAAATGATGAACCATTTCTCCAGGCACAAAGTCTTTGTATCACAGGGCATTCAGTAATTATTAGCATTGGATAGAGCTTTTATTTTAGTCATAAATCTCTAAGCCCAGAATAAGGCTATTCAGTTATTTTTAATGAGCAATATACTATTAAAATCTTATAAATCAATTAGAAGTTTGATGTAACCCTCCATGTTTCACTTGCATTTGGAATACTAGATCTGTGGGAGAAAATAAAGGCAGAGAAAAAGGATTGCTTAAGGAATTACTTACAGCTTTATCACTTGCAAGCTTTTTACCTAAACATAATAGTACTTCTTGTAGCTACAACAACAGTGCTTTGAGCAGGAATAATGAGCAAAGCTAGTAATCGGCAAATGAATAGGCTTGCCTAAATACTAAGCCTACATTCTTTGCTTCTGCATCATCGAGCCTGGCACCCTTCTCGTGGGTAGGCCTGACTGAAGCAGAGCGAAGCAGGTGAGGAGGGCTGCAGGCTGCTGCTGGTTTCAGGAGGTCCTGTCCCCCTGCACCGGTTTCTTAGGACTTCCAGAGAAACTCCACCAGCTTATCGCCATGGCGTTGACCATGCAACCATTGAGTACTGTTTAATTATGTTGCACGTCGCTAAGAGAAGCGGTCACTATAAAATTTTGTCTCATCTTTGTGTGAGACAGGGGCTCCATGGCTCAGGATGAGAGAGAGGCAGGGACGGCCAACCCCATCAGTGACCCAAAGACAAGCAAAGACATGGAAGATCTGACAAAATGCCTGGAGGAACTCGGTGAGAGCCCCAAAGAGGAGAAGAGCGAGCAGGCTCTGCTACGTTCACGCCTAGTACAACAGCATCACCTTATCTATATACTGAAGAAAAAAGCAGACGATGCTTGCAAACGCTGCAGAGACCTGGAGCAGCTCAACGCAGAGTTGGAGCAACTGAGGACAGAGGATGCTGTGAAAATGAAAAGCCAGACCCAACAGATTCAGCGTCTGGAGAGGTGCTTTATGGAACTGGCCGACAACCATGAAAAAATGATCCAGTTGAAGGACGAACACAGGAAACGGCACATGCAGCTGTGGGAGGAGAATAAGCGCCTGCGGCAGGAGAACGAAGCGCTCTTCAACCAGACTGTGAGGGAGAAGGAAGCTGAAGTGCTCCAGCTCACTGCTCAGGCCAAAAAGCTCTCGCAGCAGTTAGAGTCCTTACAGAAGAAACGTGCTTGTGAGAGCCGCAGAGCCCAGGAGCGAGAAAAGGAGCTGCTAGAAGCTCAGAGCCAGCAAGCAAGTGCCTACGCCCGGGAAGTGGATTCACTAAAAAACCAGCTGCAGCGCCTACAGGAGAAGCACCAACAAACCACTGCACAGGCAGAGCAGGCAGAAAGTCAGCAGAGGGCTCTGAGCAGCAAGCTGCAGGCCAAGCTGGAGAGGGCAAACGAGGAGAAAGAGCAGCTACTGAACCTGGCCACGGAGAGGGACAAAGCTCTGCAAGATGAGCAACGGGAAACTGAGCAGCTAGGGAAGAAGCTGGAGGCGGCGGAAGAAGCCAGGCAGAGAGCAGGAAAACGCCTTGTGAAAGAGGCAGCGGACACCGATCTGAGGGTCCAAGAGCTCCATCGACAGCTCGAGAGCAGCAAGCAGGCGTACAACGAGCTCTCGCTGCAGTTTGATGCTTACAGAAAGCACAGCAGGGATTTACTGACGAAGGAAAAAGCGCTGAATGCCAAACTCCGTCATTTTGTTGCGTAACTGCGGCTTTCTCCTCTGTTCTCGTCTCGGCAGGTGCCTCTGTCATAACACAGCACTGCGTTTTGTTCCTCTCCATCAGACCATCTTCTGACAGAGACCAGCTTGACATTTCTCTGCCATGTACTTCCCAGCTTAGATCCTCCTAAAAGTTCCGTCGCCTTGTTTTTTGTTACACTTTTATGTAAGAGCTCTACAGTGTTAAATCTGAATGGGGACTGTTGAACTAGTCAAACCTTGACATGAAAGATTAGGATGGAAAACGTAAAATATGATTTCTTTGGTCCTAACCTCTGCTGCATCATAGGTTTTCATTTTTTACAGTTAAAGGCACATTATTTTCCAAGATGGACCAAAGCTCCAACCCTCAGCCTTTTGCCTTCGGTTCTCCCTTGAAGTGCAACAGAGGTTTGGCATGTAAAAGGTGACACTGAGGCTCCAAAAAAGAAATCCCACCTCGCAATGTCTACAGAATCACAGAATCACAGAATAGTAGGGGTTGGAAGGGACCTCTGTGGGTTATCTAGTCCAACCCCCCT